GGGAAATATTCACAACTATTAGGCTCATCAGAGAAGCTTTAACCTTTTTCAGTTTGAGGTCCTGGTTGACTGGAGCTGCTCCTGCCTTTTCACTGGGGGCTGTAGAGATGATGGGAATGTGGAGCCAGCCAGGGCTGAAGTGGGAAAGATAGTGAAGTTACATTATTGGCTTTCCCAAATCCTCTGTCCTGAGTTTGGAAGTGCTGTTGGTGCAGGTCTGCCAAGTGCAGTCAGTGCTCAGGGCCTCTGAAGTACTTGTGTATGTGGCCAGGTGCATCCAGCAACCAACCCAGCTGCATGTGCTAAGGAAAATAAAGCCTAGGAAAAAAAAAAGGCTTGGTTAGCATGATCCAGCCCTGGTTTGCTTACGCTGCTGTTTGCAGAGCAGCTGGAAAGGGCTAGAGTAGCTGTGCAAGGGCACTGAGGTCTAGGACTGCTGGAGCCGATCCTGCAAAGGTGAGGGGCAATGCAGCTGTGGATGGGGAGATGGCCTGGTGCCAGGGTCCAGCAGCTGAGAGGTCACTAGGAAGGAAATTTTCATGCTTATGTCTCCTGAGATAAGTTACTGGGGGGAAAAGTCTGATTGATGAAAGCTTTGTGGCAGGAGACTGCTGCAGAGCCAGGGCAGAGGAGCTGGGCTGGGACACGGGAGCCTGCAGGCAGGGAAGGGCAGTGCCTGGCCCCAGCAGCACTGAGATGCCAGCACACAGGGATGTCAAGTGCACACCAAACCCACACCGACTGCTTGTCACTGTGGGGCTGGGGGGGACAGGTATCGCTGGGCTCAGCTCCCAGAGGAGCGTGTGTCACCAAGTGCCACATTTCATGGCCTGATGAGATGGCACTTGGCCATGGCATGGAGCACAGCAGCCTGGGATGGAGGGATGGGGAAGGTTTGTGAGTTAGCTCTTCTCCCTGAGGCAGCAAATGCCTTGTGCCTTTGTCCCATCCTCTGTGGAGGGTGCCAGGATCTGTCCATGGGCAGGAAGGGCAGTGGTTAACTGGCCTCCATGGTGCAACCACAAACTGGGGGTGATGTCCCTTCCCCAGGGAAGGGAGTCACAATGGAGTGGCCTCAGGAGATGGGGCTCTGTGGGGCACTTTCCTGCATCATTTGTGTTAGAATCTTAGAATTTTTAGGGGTTGGAATGGACCTTACGGATCATCTAGTTACAAACCCCTGCTCTGGGCAGGGACACCTCCCCACTAGACCAGGATGCTCAAGGCGTCATCCCGCCCAACTCTGAAGATTGGGGCACCCACCACTTCCCTGGGCAACATGTTCCAATGTCCCACCACCCTTACAGTAAAAAACTTTTTTTCTAATATCTAACCTAAACTTCCCTTCCTTTGTCTTGAACCTGTTATCCTTTTTCCTACCATTGCAGTTCCTAATAAAGAGGCCCTCTCCAGCTCCCTTGTAGGCTCTTCAGGTATTGAAGAGTTGCTGTGAAGTCTCCACACTGTCTGTCTTCATAGGGGAGATGCTCCAGTCCTCTTATCAACTTTGTGGCCTCCTCTGGACTTGCTCCAACAGTTCCATGTCCTTCTTATGTTGAGGGCACCAGAACTGCACACAGTATTCCAGGTGAGGTCTGACAAGAGCAGAGAGGAGGGGAAGAATCACCTCCTTTGACCTGCTGGCCACACTTCTTTTGATGCAGCCCAGGATTTGATTTGCTTTCTGGGCTGCTAACGCACACTGCGGCTCATTGTGAGTTTTTCATTCACTGTCACTCTCAAGTCTTTCTCCTCATTGCTGGTCTCAATTCCTTCCCCACTCAACCTGCAGGTGTGCCTGGGTTTGCCATGGACCAGATGTAGGACCTTGCACTTCGTTTTGTTGAATTTCATGAGGTTTGCATTGGCCCACCTCTCAAGCCTATCAAGGTCCCTCTGGATGACACATCCCTTCTTCTCCAGCATATCAACTATCCCACACAGCTCAGTGTCGTCATCAGGGTAGCAATAGATCATTTCCCTCTGCCACAAACACATTCTGTTAGGGAAGGAAAACACAGGAGAGCCCAAATCTGATACTAAAATATGGAGATGGGCTGGCTGGGCTGTGAAAAGTGGTGAAAGGCTTGGGCTGGTGGAGAGGCAAGAGCCCTGTGTGCCTGCTGCTTCCCTTCCAGCCATTGCAGCACTGGCAAAAATTGCCATAAGCCCAAAAAAACCCTTCTGGACTGGAGACTGCTGGGATGGGGAGTGACAGGGTGAACTGACTACGATGGGAGGTTGTACAGGCCATGTTCTGCACTGAGCTGGTGGCAGGCAGCCCACAGGTGCCCTGCTATGGGGGGTCTCTGACCAGGAGCAGGTGTGCTGCTCTTGGACAGGTCTGATGGATAGGCTGGACTTCTGCATGGGAGAAAAAGGGAAAAGATAAATGAGTACAAGTGATTGAATTGCCAAATGGAAATGGAGAAACTTGGAGGGCAGGTGGGCAGCTGCCTTGTCCTGGTCCAGCTGCCCAACCCAGGAATGCATCCTTAAGGGACAAACATGCAACCAACACATTGGGCAGAGAGGCTGCAATCCTCGCTCTGATGCTGGAGTACTGTTGCCTCCCAGCAGGGCAAACCCTGGGCCTCCTTCCTGCCTCCTCTTCCTCCTGCCTTCAGCAGCACATCCCCTAGGAGGAATGAGCCCTGTGCTTCCAGCAGCAACGTGCTGAGCATCCGTGCTGCTCTCCTGGGGCTGGCTCCAGCAAAACACCCACGGAGGCTCTTTCTTTCCTGCTGCAGGCAAGCAGCAGGGAAGGTGTGATAATCCCTCCTTTGAGGCCACAGCGATCGTTCGCACCAAACTGCATCACTTTTATATCAGTCAAGAAAGACATGAAAGACAATAAGAAAAAAATATGTTTTTATATATATATTCAATCAATGTCTGTGGAGCTCAACGCAAGGGGATTACCAGCCAGTTTAGAGCGTTAGTGACTCTCAGCATCCATCAGAGGAGAACATTTGGTTGAATGGAAGCCAGCCTTTGATGGCATTGGAGAATAATTATTTCCATCAATAATTACTTCCAAGCCCAGAAGAAATGGTTCCTGGCACGTTGCAGGACAGGAGTCCTTGATTGCCTCAAGGCCAATATGTTTTAACTCCAGGACCTGGAAATCCCATTAGTGGGAGCGGAGGCTGGGGTGAGAAGGATGTCAC